TGAAGGCACACATATAAATACTAAATATTACATTGAATATTTTTGCACAGGCATACAAAAGATTTTAAATACGTTTGTTAATAAAATGTTTAATTTATTAGCATTTCTGTTTCAGATCTCAGACCTTAACAGTTATAGTTACTTTTAAAAGAATAATGTCTTCAGAGTTTTAAAGTTTCGGAATAATTACTTGAATCTTGCGGTAGGTTATTTCTATATTTTTTTTTGTATCTGTTTGGTCCTTGGGGGGCATAAAAATTTATAAATAACTTATATATAAAATGATCCTAATATGAATGTGATTATCTATGGATAGTATATATACAAGCTCAAAGACTCACACAATGACGCTTAGACTTGTTCAAATCGACACACATATGCATATGCATTTAGGTAGAGACGTATTTCATATTTCACGGTAAATTTTCACCAATTTAAAAAAGCGCTCTCCTTTTTGCCTATGGCAAGCTTTTACGGTGGCTCTTAACGCTACAGTCTCGTAGCAATTACGCTCGTAAAGCGAGCCGTTTCGCGGCCCGTTTTCACCGCAGTAGAGTCCAATCCGTGTTCGTTCGTCACACCGGTTAAAAAAGTGATCTTTGTGTTATTCACTGGATAGACGTATTTGTTTAATTGTATTATATTTATTCTAAACTCGGACGAAATGTTATACAACCTCTCACGGGTACGTAATTGCATACGTAATTGCATACGTAAAATAAATTTGACAAACGACCATTTGAAATGAAAGCTTTTCACTCTGACGATCACGCAAAACCGCCTGTCGATTCCGTCAACGAAACGATATCTCTTACGAATTTACGGTAATTTCTTATGAACCTTCGATATTGAACCTTTCCAATAGTATGGGCATATATGTGTACCTATTCGATTCTATCTAGGTTTATGGATGAATTACTTTGGTAAAAACATTCCTATAAAAGTTTATTTTCTACTATTTTATTTCATACATTTTATGTCCATATGTTGCACCTTCTATCTCGATGTATAAGTATTATTATTATTGTTGTTTTGTATTCTCTACAATTTCATATTTTTTTGATAAGTATTCATTAAATCGCGAGTTCGTGATGGGCGTGAGCTATGGAAAAATATAAAATATAAATGTTGAAATTATGAATATAAAATACAAAATATATATAAATATACTGTAACGCAGATTTCTAGACAATCCCGTAACATTCATTATATTTTATGTATATATTTATATACGTCAAATCGTTTTTTCTTTTATATTTATATTTTAAATGCATCTTTTGTATTTTTTTTTTTTTTTACGAATATTTCCCTGCAATAAATTTGAAGTCGTTTAAAAAATAGGAAAAAACACGCGGTCGTACGTTTCGATCATCTAATTTTCGATGCAATTAATTTTTTACTTATAAAGGTACATATATGTATTATAAAAAATCAATCTGTGCTCGGATTAAGAGAAAAATATAGATGCTTACACTTTTTGTTGTTTTCCTTTCTATTTTTTTGTTTTGTTACCGTCGAACTATGTAGCATGCAACAAGTTTTCTTCAAATAAAACAATAAATCGATTTATCGTTTCGTGGTTTGCTCTTTTATACTTTAATGAAAAACTGAAAAAACTATACATGCATGTTCCTATATATAAGTAACACTTGTATACCATATTGATTTTTATTAGTATTCAAAAAATTTGTCCCATAGAATAATTTTCGTGTACGTAGTCTCACTTCTATTTATTTTTTCTTTACCTTCATTTAGTTCGTTTATTTTGAAAAATATGGCATTTTATTCGGACATATGTAAGTACATATACACACACATAACATCACTCTTCTGAATTAGAGCTTATTTCCTCAAACGTGGAACACGAATACCTTCGTCACTTTGAATCGGCACGTTTTGTTGCTTTCCTCGAGCACGATGTATCGTAAAAGTCTGTCTCGTTTTTCGAAGTACGTGCGCTTTGAGTGTGACCCTTATGCCAAGATCTATCGAATATATTGAACTTCAAATAAAACTTTCTATTTTATAATTCTCCTTGTATGTAGCTTTAATCAGCCAATCTCTCTTTTTTCTTTTTTTCTTTTTATCGTTCCTTTATTGTAATTGAATAAAGCTGATCAATTAGGTAGACATTGGATGGATATCTGCTAAATAATTTATTCATTTAACATATAAGCCAGTGTGTGTGATTTTATTTTATATAAATATTTTATAACGTTCACGTATATTCATTTAATTATAATTTATTTATGGAGTGTTATCTTTTCATTAATTTCAATTGGACCGAAATTATGTCAAATAATAAGAGAACTTGTTACATTCATCATTTTCCCCGAAATTTATATCATTCAGTAATAGAGATAACATATTAGTTAAAAACCAAAATTATCTTTCATTGAACGACCTTAAATAAATCAAATTTATAAGAAAAATATCAGCTTGATTTCTTATTCGAGTTTGACAATATGGTAAAATGAACGTTACTACATCCGATTTCAGTCGTTATCAGAAGGAATCATTTTCGTGAGATTAAAGCGCGGATAACACAGTAGTCTTAGCAGCTAGTCTTGACTGTGGAGTTAACGGTGGAATATGTAATTAATTAGAGCACTGCTCAATAGAATTCAAAAGTTCTTGAGGAAACAATTTCATCAAAATTAAAGCCACCCTTCTTGCTACGGGTCAGCTCAACCGGGTCTACATGGCATTTACGTTTAATTAAAGTATCACTCGGTCATTTATTCGAGTATCTTTTTGATTTGGAAGAAGTTCGAACAAGTTAAGTGTGAATTTGTGACTCTTCTCTACGAACTTTGCTCTTTAATTTAATTTTATCTCATGCATACTCATGATACTTTCTAAGTCGAATAGCTGAACAAAAAATAATTCGCTTATTTGAAAAAAACGTTTCTTTAATCAAAGTTTAATCAAAGAAATGAACAAATAATAATAGAGAAATAAGATTTTTAATTGGAATATTTTGATTTAAAATACGTAGTTAATGAATCAACTCATATTTATTAATTAGGTCACTCAATTTACTCAAGTTAAATTATAGGTGTATTAGCTTTCAGTTTCGCGTACTATTTTTATCGCGAAAATTTATTTGCGTTTTCGACATCACAAAAATCCAACCATATTTTATACAAAAAATTAATGGAACTTGAACGCTTAATGAGTAAAGCTTGCTACTCTTACGCAATAAACTCAATGAATTCTACTAGAAAATGATACGATTACGTAAAACGTAGAATTAAGCTTACTAGCTCGTTAAGGTGTTTAATGAAGAGGGATATTTCGTAACATAGATTCAACTGCGCTATGAATGAATACAATTTTCGATTTATTTAACGCTGCAGATACTCGTGTTTATTTCGAGATTGTAGTTCGTAATAGCAACGATACTTGAACAGTCAAATGATAAAAACATTTTACCGATACAAAAGCCAATAAAAATCAATCAAAGTTAACAATTTATAAAATTCATTTTACGGTAAACAATGACAGCCAACAAATCGACATCAATTTATTGATCATTTCAATATCGATACCTATTACAAATCAAATATAGATACATTATAAAATATTCACAATCATTTGGTCAAAAATACAATCGAATAAATATGATTAATGAATAACGATTACAAACCTTCTCAATTTTATCAATTCATTTGAATGCAACATTTGTTCAATCATTTAAATTAAATGAATGCCGAATTCATTGAAGTAAGTTTATTTTCGCAGCATACTTTTCGTTTTTAACGTTTTTAAATGGTAATCGGTTTTAAGCCGTAGATTAATTTCTTTACACCTCGTAGATAGAATTACAATGGAGAACCGGCTATTTGCTTGCTCGTAGGGAAGATAAAGGGGTCTTGTAAACGTCAGCATTTCACTTCTATCCAATTATTTTCATAGCGTCACACGTATGGTTTATGCCTGTAATATCCGTGCATGCATGTAAATATGTACATACATATATGCATGCATACATAGATATGTTCGTAGAGAAGGACGTTGACCTTTCGAAATCCGAATCTTCTCTTCGATCGGGTTAAACGAAGAGAGAAAGAAAGAAAGATGGAGAGAAAGCTACCGGGAATAGTGGTGATGGTCCAATTAAGCGTTCTTTCTCCTTTCCGTTGCCACGGTAATCGGTCCGGTTCGAAACAAAAAAGAAACCAACAAGGAGTCGTTATTGGAAATTCGTAGGAACGTGATCGAGCAACGAGAGGACTTACCGTCGCGCGTGTTTCATGCTCTTCCTCTTAATTATTTCTCACGTGGGGTTGGTCTGACATTCTTAATGCACTCGGAAACTGCGAAAGAGCATGCATATGAGACTTCAATAAATATGAAATATACGTACGTAAGGAAAGTCATTAAATGTCGCTTGTAGAAAAAATTACATTTTTTTCTTTCTCTCTGTTTCTTCGTCAAGGATTCTGCAGTAGGAAAGAGGAAACGTATTGCAACGGAAACTTTGAAAATCAATTGGATTCGCGAGCAATATAAGCGGAAATTCAGAAAGTCAACCACCTACGTTCCAAATACTCGACTTCGTCTTCTACTTTCCTTCTGTTATACCCGACGGGCTCGAATCTCTTATGACTTACAGACTTTGTTTTACTTTGTAATAAAGTTTATCGAGTGAAAATGCGAAGAAAAGAATTTATACGATTGATTCATCTACATATTATCTGCTACAGAGGAAAAACTTAATATAACAACTGTAGATATTTTCTATATATGTACGCTGCATAGACCTTACACCCTATGTGAAAGAATAAGTTTATATAATTGGAATCAAAATAATACTCACTTTTATAAGAGGTCCTTTGAAAAGTAGGAAATTCAAATGTTCGACATTATCATTTCTGCTGCAAAAGTAAGAAAATTTTTTTATTTCTTATTCTTACAGAAAGAACGTGAATACAAAATTCTAAAGGAAATAATTATTCGATAGTTATCGATAGTTACACAATATATAATATCTTACATGCATAGCACATTTATTGATGTTGAGTAAAATATTATATTAATTAATTGATATGTTATATAGTAATATTCTATTAGCTTAATACTTTTCTTTTTCTTTTTTTTTTTACAAAAGTTTGTCTATAAATAGAACTTTGACAAGTAGTTTTAATTTCTCGGAGAGAACTTTTACAGATAACACGACTTGGAAACTGTAATAAACTTACACTATCACCAATCACGAAGTGTAGTGGCACGTTTCTAGTTTCTTCCTACGTAAAATAAAATTCGTCGTTGCCCTGTTCGAAATCAGGATCGATCTCTTTCGTGGAGGACTTTTCAATTTCTTCGTTCGGCCCGTCGAACGAAGAAAGTCCATTCGAATAAGAAGATGCTTTCATTACTTTAGCATGCACTGGACCGAATCTTTTTGCAAACTCTTCTTCAACATCGGCTTTAGGTTTCGCAAAATGATATCGATAGATCAGTTTTCCTCTACAGAACCGTTGAAAGTTAAAGGACGAACGAACCAACGCAGCTTCGATATTCGATTTACTAGAACTAAAATATTTGTTGAATTCTTCGAGAAAATATTTTTCAAGAAAATGCAAAGATCAGTTCGGTACTCTTAATCTGCATAATTGTTAGTTATAATATTTCTATCGGCTTATCTTTACTCACTTAGCTTATCTACTTTCTACAATAATAATACTAATCTATCATTATTTTCTATCTACTCATGTAGTCTATTATCTTGTCTTTACACGATTACGAGCCGCGATGGTAAATTTTATCCCCTTTTCGTACTTCCTGATATTACAAAAAAGAGTCGATCAAGAGAAGAAAAGAAGCGAAGAACTAGTCGTTGAACCTCTTTATATTATTTCTTATTGGAGGGTTTTCTTTTGACTGTACCAGTCGGGATTCCATTGGAATCTTCACCACTTGTAGACGATTTCTCGCAGTCCTTTTTCTGAAGCGTTGGGATGGAAGATTTGCTATCGTGTACGTAAGTCACGTTCGCGATTTTACCAGTTACTGCCTCAACTCTTTGCACAATTTCCGTCTTCTCCATATGCGTTTGTGTTAACGATTTATCCATAACAATAGGTAAGTCCTCTTTTCGTCTAGAAAATGACGGTATTCTCGTTATTTTCGGTTTTTCTCTCAAAGGAGGTCTTTCGAGAGTAGGCCTGTTCTCTTTACGTTCTAAGATCTTATCCCTTTCGAGATTTTGACTATTTTGTCGTTCCACCAACGGTATTGCTGAGATTTTTGGTATGTTCCTTTGATCTCTGTTTTTTTGAAAACTAGTTGTAGGTTTGATAATGATTTTCGGTTGTTTTGAACTGGTCAAGTTAGTATTCTTTGGATCACCAGCAGTTATTATGATACGTGGTTCTTTTCTTTCTTCTTTGGAGCTGGTTAAATTGCTAACACTGCTTGATCCTGCACTGGATTCTAGCTCGAAACGTTCGGATGAACCTGAATTCATGGTATGAGCTTTCGAAGAAGGTATGACGGTTTCAACACAGCATGTATCTCCCATATTTGTTATCGTCTGGCAGAGATCTTGATTGTCTTGTCCTGGAAGATTAACTACTCTCGGAGTGATCACGATCTTTGGTTCCCCTGTTCTATCCCAATTTGCGTTAGGACCGATCAATCGGTGCTGCCTCTCCAGTTCCTTAGGAGCAATCACGATCCGTGGTTCTGAGGATGCCAATGACATTACCGGCACTACCTTGCCATCTCTTGCTACGGGCTTGTACCAATTAGGGTTACCCATTCCTGCTTCGATGAAGTCTCTTCTAGGATCTCCAATATCTTTGTCGAGTGTCTGAGAGGTTGGCGAAAACGTGTAGGATCCACCGTGTACGGGACACCTTGGGTTCTTGTAAATGGTATCTACGCTCCCACCACCAGGATGAACACTATTCATCATTATGCTTCCTTCGATAGAATCGATGATGCTTGGATCGGAGTTGTTTTTGACCGAAGTATCTTGTCGCTTGGTTAAAGGTCCGATGTGAAGATTACTGGTAACTGCTTCCCCCTCGCAATGGTTCTCCTTTTCTTCGGCGAATTCCAAGCTCTTAGACGGGCCAAACATTCTTGGCGGTGGTAATGGAGGTTGCCCCGAAACAGGACTAGGTAGAGTACCCTTGTTTCCTCTTAAAGAGTTTCCATGTTGTTTCGGTAGAAACAAGGTTGTCGGTACAGGAAGCGAACGTCTTTTCTCAATGTCTGGTAGAACCTTCGGGTAATTTCGCCGTTTTATCGTTCGAAGAGCTTCCTCCGGACTAACACACTCTCTTTCGACCGTTGGCTCTCGACAAGTGACGTTGACATCACCTGGAGTACTACCGCTACCAAAAGTTGTCAATTTCGTCGATTTCACATAGATTTCCTCCAATGGAGGAATAGTTCGATCCTCGGCATTCTTCGACGCCTCGATCTCTATGGTCTCGTCACTCCTTTCAAGATTCGTCCGCGGAATTCGAGCTTTCGACTTTGGATTGATCTTCGCGTAGAGACTGCTTGTACTCCCAGAATCGGATTCATAGATTCGCGGAGTCGAGAAATTCGGTTTCATGGTTCTCAAGACGTTCTCCATTGGCAGTGGATCGCTTCTAGAATGATGATGCTCTATTACAACGACTTGAGGTGTCATCTGGAATTGGCTGGTGGAATCCGATAGAGGATAGTCGAAGGATTGTTCGATCTTCTCGACGAACGTCTCCTCCTTCTTCGACAACTCAATTGGTACTTGATTCAAAATAGATTCGGTCCTCGTTGCCGGGGTGGCATCAATTCCTACCGATACCTTTGCTGCCTTTGACTTTTTACCTGGCCGTACTACGATAGTTGGACTTTCATCGTATATCGGCTCTTCCTTCTTACTCTTCTTCAATGCTTCCTCTTCCAATCTCCACTTTTCTTCTTCTTCTTGTTTCGTTAATTTCGCCTGATGTTCTTTTGCCAGAGTTTCTCTTGTTTTTCGCAGAAACCTCGGTGAACATCTTTGAAAAATATGAAATCAAAGAAATGAATAGTCCTTTAGTATAATCATATTTATCATTTATAGAAAGACTAACTTTTTTTTTTATTTTTTTTTTTTTTTTTATACAAGTTTAATAACAATTTTCACGATCTTTACTGAATATCTGAATAGAGATCGTCATAACGAATACTACTTTGTAGCACGTTCAAAGATCTTTTTGTACAATATTATTATTCTCTTTCTCTATGACTTTTGCGATGGAAGTTTCATGAGAATAATCTCTTTATTCCTTCAAATTTAACCAAAGAAAAAGTAGAAGACGTTAGGAATTGTAGAAGATGGGTGAGAAACAAAAACGCTCTTAAAGGAAGCAATGCTACCTTCTGAATGCAGCTTTCCTTCTTTTAAAACATCACTTGAAGCGTACACTTTAGTCCAAACTAAAATAAGGAAGAGAAAGAGAAAGAGAAAGAGAAAGAGAAAGAGAAAGAGAAAGAGAAAGAGAAAGAGAAAGAGAAAGGAAAGGAAAGAGAAAGAGAGGATCATCTTCGTGCTCTAAATCTTCAAAAGTATATATATATGTATCTATACATATACACATATATACAATATCTCGTATAAACAAAATGAAAAGCCCGAGTTCTATTCATTGACGTGTAATGGAGAATCCGTACTTCTTCAGGCCGAGTAATAATCGTGGAAGGAAAACGAGCGGAAATGTACTTACCCTCGTTAAATAATTTTGAATGTACATACTTTTAGAAGATAATGAAAAACACGAGTTTGCCACCGCGATGACGTAATATATACGATGCTTTTAATAAATAAGACTTTAATTGGGATTGCCACTAAAGATAATTAAACGATGACCTAGCGACGAAGGAGCTTAGCTTAATTGAAACGTTAATATTGTCAAAATAAATTTAAATCTACGTTTTTTGGGGTTTTTTTTCGCGATCAAAATTTGTCTCCTATCTGTTTTTCTCTTTCGAGATAATATGGCTAAAACAGTTTTCGATATTGGAATTCTTGATAGCTCTCTTTGACAAAGTCGACGTACAAAAGGTGGAAAAAAGAATCGTGAGAAGCAACAACGTCGATTAACGAAAATGTCCGTCGAGATAAGCTCAATATTCATAGGCACGATTGAGTTTTATAGAATCGATCGACAAATACTCAAAAGAAAGATATTTCGATAGGAAGGAAAAAAAAAAAAAAAAAAAATGAAGTCTGTTGAATTCGTCGTATTCTCTAGTATATCGATCAAAAGCCCGATTTTACATCGTGAAAATGTATACAATAGCTTTCGAAACACAAAAGGGAATCTTTCTAACGATAAGTACGTCCAGTAATTGGATGACCAATCCATTCGATACTCAGAACGATTCAAACTAGAGATGGTTGTAATGAACGAATATGCAAAATCGACTTACTTTCTATTTCTTACTAGGAACACGGTTTAAAAGATTACGATTTTATTTCTAAATGTAATTTTTACTAACTTTACAAATCTAAACAAAGGAAAATATTTTCTTACCTGTGTACAATTTCCTGTTGTATCCACTCTCTAACTTTAATATGGGTATCGATAGTAGAATTGGAATTTTCTCGGGAAAGTTTGGATCTTCTGCCAAAGTTGGAATTGTTGTCGTAAGCTTTGTCACTTTTGATCACCTCGTTCAAATCCGGCTTACTATCACTTTTATAACCAAGATCGCCATAATGGTTCTCTTGTTTCTCCGTCTTCGGTCTCTTGGACGTTTCGTCTTTCTGACTGAGACGTCTCTTTAAAGGTTTTTCATTCTTTTTCGTAGCTTGACGTTTCCAGTAGAAATATAAGAAAGCAGATATGTTGATTATCAGAAATATCACGCCAAAACTGATCATTATCGCTATAACCGAGGAACTTTTTAAAGAGCTTGACTCGGACGTGGTGCTTTGAAGATTTGGCTGATTCGTCGTAGCAAATAGAGGTATCAGTGGTCTCTCCTCAAAATTACTTTCGGTTATACTCGACGGTGTCTTCATTGTCATCCTAACGAAAATCATTTAACTTTAGTAGAGAATTATTTCTTTAACAGGAAATAAATTATATATATTTAAAAGTAATTATCATTGCTATTTATTTGGTCATTCATTTTCGAGAGAATTTCATAAAAAATATTATCGTTAATCGCTGACCAGGCACCGTGCATGTCGTAGTTCCTGTCGGAGCTGCCATTCGCGTATTTACCAATCCCATCAGCGAAGTCGAGTATAGAGGGTCGTGGACCCTTTGGTCGATTGAACATAGGAATGTCTTTGCTGGGATGCCTCAACATGTTGGGAAGATCCTCGTTCCAGAATTGCATCTCAGCAGAACGATAGTGAGAGCCAAGCTTTGGTGGTATAGCTACGACGAAAGAATTTCATATAGTGGTCAACAAAGACTCTCCGGCGACTCTGCGTACACATATATATATATATTCTAACATGATATACTTACTTAAATTAAAGTAAGTTTGATTTCTTGAATTGTACTCCAACCAATCAAGCTCGTATTGTCCCCATTCCTTTAGTCCATCAGTCAAGTACGGATATCTCTTGGCTGCGTTTGGGTTCCTATTTTTTGTACACGCGTGCATACAAATAAAATACGTGCATCTATATAATAGTTTATATTATTTATTCATTTAATTGCAAAATGTATCATTGTTTGTTTAAAATATCGTATATCGTGGAAGAGATGCTTAAATGATACAATTGTATTTATTGAGATTGTTTGGACATATGTAACAATCGACTTGGTGTCCGTTTGCAAACGTAACTACTAAACAGCTTTGTTTCATTTAATTGGATTGACCCAGTTGAAGATGATCCTACAACATATCGCGATGTGCATATGCATTTACTCCGGATGTATATATATATATATATATATATATATATATATACAGTGAGTACTCGGAGAGTGAGCGGGATCAAACCGAGAACCGTAAACGGGGACGAAAAATGGAAGGCATCGCGTCGAGAGTTTAGCATCGCCTCGTGCAAGTTTCCTCGAGTAAAATTATTCTCACGCGGTGAGCTTGAAGGAAGCCATGCTGATGAAACCCAAACGACGAGCTAGGACAGAGTGCACGACTGACGGATTGCGATTAATGTTGGAAAATGGGATGCGAATGTAATATCCGAGGACAGAAACACTCTCCTTAGAGTCATTCTTCAGTATTACCGATCTAGTTTATCATTATGCATTCCTGATGGATCTACGGATTTATCAACTCTAAGTCTAACGATTTAGGAGACGTAATTTGCTTTGGACGATATTAGATAGGATCAATTTTACCTCGCGGGTAACTAACTTTATTCGTAATTCTCTCACGTTTCGAATAGATTCATCAGATTTCTGCCCTACGAGAATTGAGATCTATCATTTTTTTATTTTATTATTTTCTTTCTTTCTTTCTTTCTTTCTTTCTTTCTTTCTCTCTCTATATTTTTGTCCAACTTAATTTACTTTCCTATTATTTTTATCCTATTATACATATATTTAACTTGAGATTAAAAGTAAAATCATAATGATATCGGATTAAATGTATAAATATATGGAATTTTTCTTCCAACTATTATCCACGTTAGAAATTTTTGCTCGATGTCGGTAGGAAAGACAGCTCAAGCAGATTATCATTACCATTTCGTTTCAAGCAGTAAACGTATAAATATTCAGGCGTACTAGAGTTAATTGAAAATCGTGTTTTATAATTCGAGCAAGCTTCGTGAAACGGTCGTCGGCTTTTCTCGACATTCCACTTTTCGTGGAAAAGAGGATTTTCGTAGAACGTAAAACGGGTAAAACAGGAGCGTCGCCTTAGATTCGCTTTGAAAATCGTTTCGGTCCAGCCGAAAACCGTTTGGAAAGTGCCGCTAAAGCTTTCCACCACCTTTCCACTACCTTTCCACTACCTTTCCACTACCTTCCACCACCTTTCTAAACAACCCTCCTCCTGTTTCTCTCGAGTTTTGCTCGTAAAGCAATTTTCCAGGCTGCCACTAGCTGAAATAGGCGTGCTAATACTACTTACAAGCGAGCAATAAACGTTCGACGCATGTTTATATCTATATCATAATACAGGTAACGCGACAACGTATACGTTGATTTCATTTTGTTTCGTGGTCATTTCCCTTGTTGGAGAGTGTAAATTATCACTGACATGTCTGCAACGAAGAGACTTTTGTTAACGGCCCACTCTAGTACGATTATGAGCCCTGGAATGGAGAGCTTTAAAGTGCATCGTCATAAAAAAAGGTACGAGCGAGAGTTATTTTGAGGGAAAAATTTTAGGCTCCTCGAGTAGACACCTATGAAATTGTTATTTAGTAACGATACGAATTGCCGGACTGTTAACAATTTAACAAGCACGTCATCGAAAATAAAATTCATTTACGTTTACCTATATAATATCAATGTATTGACATTTTACGTATTGTCACTGTTTGAAAAAGAGTTGGGAAACATTTTTGCGGGTATACGTCTAAAGTGCATTTTAAAGCACCCTCCATATATCCTTCTACCCTGAAATATGGTACGTGTAAATATTTTAGGTCTATGTGTAAAATAACCGCAAAAACCTTTCGTATTTTTATTAGCAGAACGTTAGTACGTTCTACGTTACGTTAGTAAACGTAGTCGTTTAAGATAAAAGAAGCAGCTTTGTATTGAAAAATCTAAAACTAATTGCATAATTCTTGAGCATAAACGATGAAGCTTACCCAATATATGCAAAACTGCACCACCAATTCATCATGGCCTCGGAAAACAATGTCTCGCCGATGTTGTATCGAGTACGCAAGTCGTACTTGCTCCCGTCGAGTGGAACGCCGAGCACATAGGACAGCTCTTCGCCGTGTATCGTCTGTTGTCGTTGTTGCTGTAAAATAACGAAGCGACGATATCGATCGATATGTCCCGGTTTTTGTTCCACCCCTATCCTCGTGATATCCCATTCAACGGCGTCGCCGATAATTATACAAGCTTCGAATAACATCACCAAGCAAGAGAGAAAGAGAGAGAGAAAGAGTATAGTACATGAGAGAAATCAGAAATAATCATCCGGCCGAGCCATCGCACACCCAGCTTGAGAATATTTCAATTAGCAGCTTTATCTCTAGAGTTTGCTTCTCCTATCCACCTACGTACGAACAAAGTGTTAATTTTAGTTAATTATATTTATTTATATCTTCAATCTTTTTTTAAGCTCTCCTCAAAATCATATTTGATGCGTTACGTGGTTTAATTCTAAATGATCCTGCATCAACAAATTTCATGTAGAAGTATTGATTTTTCTACTAGATTCATTGAGAAATGAAACACCCGGTATATGAATTCATTCTAGAGACATTTTTCACACGCGCCAATCCGATTCCTGTTGGTCTTCTCCATCATATCCATATCCATCCCCCTTTCTTTCCCTGTTTAGCTCTTGGTATAACAGGAAAACGTATGGGATACGTGGGGGTGCACGCGTGCGCGCGTCTCATACTTCGATCACTGCGTTCGAGAATTTGCGACTTTACCGTAACGATACATCGACCACGTCATTGAACTTGGAAATGGAATTCCCCATATTTATGGTGCACGATACGCCCATAGGATGCAAATATCCATGTCGAAGAGGCAACAGCGGTAACCGAATACGTAATATTTACCGTATTTGCCCTAGGTATTTGCCTGTGATATCGTCCTATAATACCATTTTCCATTGCACAATACGACTCTCATAACGATACCCTCTTTTTTTCGAGGGCGAAAGTAGCTTTTTTATTATTTGCTTTGTTACTTTTTCGTTTATTTAATCCCAATACGCGAACGCGACTAAAATAAATAGTACGATTATTGTCCGATACACAGTGTATATTACGTTTTATTCGAGTATAGAGAAAATATTCTTGTTTCTTATTTTATTTAATTATTCACACAAAAAATGTCTAATTGTAAAAGCAAATTGATTTGACAAAAATAAAAGGAACGCTTTAACGGTTCTTAAACATCTCTATCCAACGCCATAACGCGACACAAATTTGTAACGCTTCGGTGATTTCACAAGCGTCTACGAGCTTAAAGAGACCTTTATGCTGATCAACGATACGATCAAGGGTCGGTTAAGTGCACCTACATCGACACCGAGTCGAGAGTGCTGGATAATTTGGAAAATAAAGGACCAGATCCAATCGGAGAATGAAACTTTAATTCTACTTGAAAACAGTTCGACGTTTCAGCCAATTTAGTTTCTGTCTAATAGAAGTCACAAGAACAGTTGGCCTTAACCCAAACAGACTCATAGTTTGTGCTCGTGATTTTCGTTTCTTCAGTTTGCGAACATAATGACTATTGTTAAACCATTGAATGATAAATTTGGCGATCGTATTTTTATCGATTATCCCATAGATGAAAGAAAATGTTACATTATTTCCTTTATTTTTACTTTCGTGATAAAATATATTTAGTTACCGCGATATACGTTAGGCAGATTGAAGTAGCTTGACGTAAAAATACGTTTTTATTCCATTAAGAAAGATGTCAGTGATTTTGAAATTTCCTTGACGTCTCCCTTCGACGAACTTCGTAAGTTGTTTTTCTCTTTTCAGTATATTTAAAAGGGAGAAAATCCGTATACCTTCAGTTTATATTAAAATGTGGACAGGCGATAGGAGCAATGATTACTTGAAATCGATTTTCATTTTCAACACTCTTCGAAATTAATTAACATATTCGTGGAAGTCCAAAGAGTAGTCGATTTATCAACGTCAAGGTAAGAAGTAACTTACGCCGGTGTAATCTTGCATAGCCTTCGGATGAGAGAAGACGTACATGTAGCTATTCGGGTTTGCTCTAGAATGTAAATTGGCGGTCATTATCAAGGGTGCGACAGTACCGCTGTCAGAAAGTGCTTCTAGGACCATGTCCCTATTCTTCGTCGCGTAGTCGTCTGTAAATCCGCCATAAAAGTCTCCATAGTGTTCGAGGATCTTCGATAGGACGAGCTCTGGTTCAAGCTCGTGCGTAGCCTGTAAAATTGATTAGATATCCTTGTATTTTTACCAAATGAAATTATGATTAATAATTCTTACCTTGGCATGATCTCGAAGGATCTCATCGCGTTGATTATCGAACAAGCCATGTTGCAAGGCAGTTTGCGGTAGAATGTGAAATTTTTCCGACTCGGTAATGCCGTACATTAAGTCGTATCTGCGCAAGTATTTACAAGTGGACGTATTAGAGATATTTTGCACGAATATACGTGAAATATATTCAAAGCGTGCTTGCTCCTTTCCACCATAAACGGTTCCTATAGAATGCACGTTTACGCCGTGAAAAGGATTAATCTACTGCGCGTACCCACTTGCCGCAATAATACGCGGTAGTACGTAATGCCGTGGTAAAAGGTGGTTGCTCTTAAAAGCATGCGACTGAGACTAGGTGAGAGAAACGCTACCAGTATCGTTTTCTATATTTTATCTCCTCTACTTGCCTCCTACAGAATATATACATCAAATATTTTCGATATATTCTCCAAATATTTTCTATATATTTTCATGAATTTATAGATGTATTGAACTGATTCATAAATAAGTGACGCCACTTTTTATTTACAAATCAAACCAATGTGAAATAAAATAACTAACCTGCCGAAAAGTTGTGCGTCTTGCATCAGACTGATAGGTTTATTCGGTATAACAGCTTTGTCAACGAGAGGTGCAAACGCCGGCACATATCGTGGCTTGTGAATCTTCACGTTGAGAAGCGTTTCGACATCTTGAAAGCGCAGACAATGCGCCAAATCGCTGTCATTCGTCGTTGGACAATTCAAAGCTATCGCCACCTGCGAAAGGAAACGATTCCTGCAATTTCCCCCGAACAGCAATGAACATTCCTGACCCATCTCGGTCCTCTCGCAACGATAAACGATCATTGTTTTTCCGTTTTTCCTTTTTTCTTTCTCTCTCACTTACTGGAATTTAGATCGTGACGCCAGTTTATTCTCTTAACGTTTCTTTGTCCGATGCAATGGAATGGCTTGCATTAGTATTCCTATTCGTATTCGTATTTTCACAGGAAATTTGTGATGCAAATGAAACTCTAATAAATCATTTGGCCATTAATTTAAAATTAAATGTATTTAATCGTTTTTATAAATTACCGTGGTGTGTATATATATATATATCTATACTGTATAATAAACATCGTGTTATTTGGATAAATCATTTGAAAGCTTTAAATAATCTCTTAACGTAATGAGTACGAATAAATTCATTTGATTGAAAAAAATAACGTATCCTTTTGGTTAAAATGGTATTGCATAGCAAAAGAAAAAACTAATTCAATGTCCTATTTTCCTTGTACGTACGTGAACTTCCTATAAAACTTTTAGTTCTAATGTTGTAGCGTTTGTAAAGATATAAGAGACAGAATGAGAGAAAGAAAGAGAAAACTGTAAGAGTAAAGACGGTGGAAACGCAAAGGCGTCGACCCGTGTTGCACCGATGCGTTTAATTTCGCGTTCGAGATACGTAAGAGACTTCCCAAATCCTCTCATCCCTTTGACGACGACGGGATCAAAGGCGATGAAAACCTTTAGCGGGCCTTCGAGCGAACTCAGTTCTTGTCTCCTTACCCCTACTACGACCCCCTACGCTACACAAAATTTCGCGGATTTTACTGAGGACACCCTTTCATTCCTTTTATCTAATAAACCATTCACCGCTATTTTCTCTTTGTCTAATATTACAACGACATAATAACTCCGATTATATTTGTTTTATTTTATTAGTGAATTGTAATGTTATCAAACCATAAGAGAGAAAAAAATATTTATTGAATGCAATAAGCGTAATTAAACAGAAATTTTGAATCGTTCGTTAATGCAGAACAGACATTGGAAATATCGTTCGTATTGATCTACGAATTTAATAGGTATTTAAACAATAATAGTCGATTTCATTGAAATTCAATTGAAATAAAAGCGAATTAGCCATTTCATTGTATCTAGCACATATTCCTTATAATGTACGTAGTAAATTAATTACTACTAATTGCATATAAAATAATTCGAACGCATTTACTCGATGATATAACGCGGAGAACGGTAGAATTCTATGTATAATGAGTTTCGAAAATAAAACCGATCGAAAAATCGATTGAATTTTACACGGCTTTTTCCAGTAAGTGTAATAGAAAAAGAGAAGTTTTTTTTTTTTTTTTTTTTTTTTTTTTTTTTTTTTTTAATGCGATAAGTTTTTCCTTCCTTTCTTTCTTTCTATTGGAAATTGATCGATGAAACTAGAATATCTTCTTACCTGCTTGGTAATTTGCAGAGGCGCCTTGCCGATGGCGTCAGCACTCAATGCCGAACCGGACATCAGAATGGCTCGCTTGAACAGACCTGAATGTTATAAGAGACAGGAACGATTAATAACTTTTCTGCTTGCTCGGTGTGATGAAAAAAGTATGAAGAAAGTGAAAACAAAGAAGAAGAAGAAGAARAAGAGAGAAAAAGAAACCAAAAATCATCTTTCTCTTCCTTCCTTCCTTCCTTCCTTTTAACTTTTTTCTCCCTTTCGACCTCGAGGTGGAAAATTACAAACAAGGGTTAGGATGAAAAATCGCAATCTACTTTTTCTCTTAGGTGCTATAGTAGTCTTTCTACTGCTAGAAAGGATTCACCTTAGTTTCTCCAAACCGTAAGTTTAAAAGTTTCATTTGAAAGTCTCTTACAAGTTCTCTGAATTTAGGGAATTAATTCTAGTCGTGGAGTACCTACTCATTCAAATCCTTACTTGAGAATAAAAACAAAATGAACTAGGTTGAAACGAACCGCACATCTTTAATTATTAACTGAAGCTAAGGATTGAAAAATAAACTTGTCGATTATCGATTTTTCAAGTGTGAAAAATAACGGGAATCTTGTCTATAGTGTTCGCAAAGTAAGTACTTATGTTCGCCATGAAGTTTTGAGGGTTGTGGGTTGGGTGATGGGTGCGGAGATGGTGTTAGGAGAAAGACGACCACAGGATCGACGAACGCGTTCATGCGAGGAACGTTTAGACCGTAACACGTAGGACCAAGCTGTGCTAGGAGCCCCTTTCCTAGTTACTCTCCTAGTTTCTCCCTGTAATACGTATGCACGCGTGTGTGCAAGTTCACCGGTTCACGCCGTCCACGATCTACGAGATTAATTCACGAAACGATTCTCTATCCTTCTCCTTCTACTCCTTCCTTTCTTCCCTCCCGCCATTCTAACACCCCCTTTCAACAAACTTCGATCTCGTGAAACTGGCCAACTTTAACACCAACTTCTCCAACACGTCCTGCTATTCTTCTACCATCGTCTACTCGAGTTTAGGCCAACTTTATTTACACCTATGTATTTCTCTTCGATAAGTTTATTATTTTTTAATTATTTTTTTAGCATAATATGTAAGACGTGATCAAGTATCATTGCTAGTTGTTTTTCTAATTTATATTTAGTTTGTCGAGGACGCCAAATTCTTCCTTGGGAAAAAGTTTACGCGACATGAAAAAATTCTACGCTCCAGGTTTATATGAAATTTTTTTCTACGTGACTCCCCAAACTGGAAGTTCTTTTAACGAGTTTTCCTGGAATTTACGTAGAGGGGATTAGTTCGTCGTTGAACGACACCAATTCGAGAGCACAGTATGTACTGGTTCTTCGTATACGTTAGGGGCATACAGAAAGGGATGGAGTTGTTTTTCCAAAGTCTAAGTACTTTAATATATTTTTGAAATACGGAAACGTTTTAAGGGCGTAGAGGATAATTTCACTCTTGTTGAACTCCGAATATACTTTTGCAACGTAGAGATATAAAATACCTACCTACGAAAAGATATGGATTCCTTGGTTAGACTCCAAGTTTTTCGGATTCTCAATTTAGCATGAAATATAGAGAAGTCTTTCGGAAAGAAAAATATTTACTGAAAGAGTAAACGTGTACAAAATGTTGACAATTTAAATAATTACTAAACTAATTATGTTAAAACAGATGTGAATATCTTGACTCGTTTGGTTTTATTACATTAGTACATACTTTTTATTGGAATTAAAAAAATGCTCGTACCTTCGTTGTTTGCAACAGGACTGAGGAGAAGTAAATTAGCAAAAATAGCACCGGTACCGTGGCCAACTAAGGTCACAATGTCGGGATCTCCACCGAAGGCAGCAATATTTTCTTGGAGCCATAAAAGAGCTGCTATTTGATCCAGTAATCCAAAATTACTCGCTGCGTCGTCCCTTATACCTGGTCTTAGGAAACCTACGGGAAAATCACTTTCTTTTCTTTATCCAGTTACATCGAACTAGCAAGTCTTTTTACTTTATTTTCTTTTATTTTTCACACATATTATTTTTTATTTATCAGTACTCTTTTAATCTAATTTAAATAATAAATGCAAAAATGTTAACCTCTCATCTGTGAGGGACTTGCGATATTGCAGTTTTATCCCTGACACATTTTATGCTTAGGTGTATATATTCTTGTATATTTTCACAAATTTGAACTCTACTATAATAAATCCAAGTTTCTCTCTCTCTCTCTCTCTCTCTCTCTCTCTCTTTCTCTTTGAAAATCTTCCTGCAATTGGTCGCTATATCCCCGTAAAAGAACGTCATGGTCTACGGGGTAGAAATAGCGAAGGCTATCTATCATCCAAGGAGAAAGAAGACTTTGAAAAATTTTGAAGTAAGAAATAAGGTAGTGGAAGGCTTGAGGAAAGAAAAAGAAAAAATGCTGATAGATGCAAGAGTAAAGTTCATTGAGTTTACCGAGACTTGCATCTTGGTGTTTACGTTATTCCAAGTTCGAAAAGAAGGAGTATATAGTAACATAAGTATAGAAGAAAGTTGCGTTTTACAAAGGGGAACCTTTCGACTGACCTTTCTTCGTGAAAAGTATAACAAAAGTAGAGAGAGGAGCACGATACAAATGGACGCACGTTGCAATAGAGAATGAACGAACGTACAGCCTAGCTGGTAAGTGGAGTGGTCGAAGTAGAAAAAAGAGCGTAATAGCGAGAGAGGAGAAAAGATATAAAGATAAAAAGAGAAGTGAGCGTGTAAGAGAGAGGGAGAGAGAGAGAGAGAGAGAAGAAAGACGAGTCCGAAACCATAATCATAAATTAGGTTAAAGTGCCGGAGAAGCGCTTAGTAACTCCGCTTTAGGTGGTCTGCTGCTGCTTTGCTCGAGAAAAAGAGAAAGAAGGGAAGAAAGAAAGAAAAAGGCGAAGGATAGAAGCTCACGGATAACTTGGCCCCTTCGCAAAACATGGGAAAAAATATGCTTCTCGAGTTTAGCCTGGTGGAAGAAAAGAACAGAAGCGTTATGGTATAAGAGAGCCAGTTCCGCGTTTCGGACTAACTAACAGGAAAGGAGGCTCTTTAACCTTTCGTTAGTTTGATTAAGCTACGTACTTCGTCATTTTCATCTCACGCTTCTCTATCTACTAGATTTCTTTTATTCTTTTTTCCTTTTTTCCTTTCTTTTTTTTCGTTAGTTAGTCAAAAAGAACTCAGTGAGAAAGATAAAGCGAGTTAATTTAAGGGATGAAAGAGAATCGAACTTTAGACAAATTGAAAATAGTATCGTTTATCTAATCCATTGAAAGCATAGTTTGAATCTGTTTGCTTTTGCTTTTTCTTACTCGTCGGATTGACCATGCAATTCGGTCACGTACAACAATAGTAACAAATAGCGGAAAAAATAAAAAGGAGTTGCGTATTAAGAATCAAAGACTGAAACACCGAAGCGTGAATGTTAACGAAGCAGAAGTCCAGATTCCGTGTTGAATGCCTCTACACACAGTCCGATGGGATTTCGTGAATTCGAATTGGAACAGGTTGTGCCTTTGGTCTGGTAAAAATTCGAATATCCTCGACGATCTTCGTAAATAGAATCCATTGATTTTTTTGTCAGGGTCGAAACGCGATACGACGTCGAAGAGTAGAGAGAAAAAGAGAAAAATGTCTTTCGACTTGACTCGACTCGACTCGACTCGACTCGACTCGACGGTTTTACAATTTATGGCAAAGTACAAATGCAAAACACGTGCGCGTAATGCACGCTCCACATTAAATCCGGATTTTTAAATGCATGCATATATAATATACATTTTTTATGGCACATCTATATCTAGATATGTGTAAATATATACATATTTGTGTGCATACGTAATGGCAGCCATCGTGTAAAAGCATATCTATCATATGCAAATTTCGAAATACATACCTAAATTAAAATAAATATATTGATGCGATATAATAAAGTCATATAAAAAAGTTCTATACAATACCTCACGTATATATATTTGTAGGAAAAGAATCTGACTCACCTAAAATGCCAAGGCGAAAATTGATGGTGACGAAAACGACGTTTCCGTAAGCGGCTAGGATGGTGCCATCGTATGGATTACCGCTGTTCCATTTGTAACTTTCGCCATGTATAAACACCATCACGGGATATTTCTTTAAATTCCTCTGTCCTGAGAAAATAAATAGAAAAAGAATAGTTGACATTTTTTCGTTTCAGAGATATTAGATGATATTTGAAATTTAAATATAAAGATTCCTTAATTAATAGAAAAATATCTGACGTAGTATACGGGGACAGTCTTAACAACAATGTATCGCAATTTAGTTGATGAATTATATGATCTACCTGGCACATATGTGCGTGATATTACGATAGGTCGTGTCGTTTTTTACGAGTTACTTTGATTTACGTCAGACGAAAAATTATCACCGTAGTTTGGCTGTGGTACCAGGAGTACGTTGGTTCGGGTCAGTTAGAAAATTTATATCCATATCGGTCGGCTCGCAAACTATTCAGAGTTTTCGATATTAGAGTAACTATAAATTCTTCCAATCCCGTCCGGAGTACGACGACAAAGTTTTCTTTTTGGAATACGATCTGCAAATTAGAACGCCGTAGACTTTGGCTGTTTAATTTATCGTCGAATTCGTTTCATTCGATAGCATTTTCTAGTTTGTCAGGGGAGATCGGTAAAGCAAGCGGCTGTTCGAGCGAACTTTTAATCGGTAACGACGACGAACTATAATCGAATGACTTTTAGAATCGTTTAAATTTCTTTTATTTTCATTCTAACGTAACTCGCATTAAACGTTTGATTTCCTCGAGAGAGAGAGAGAGAGAGAGAGAGAGAGAAGCTTTGACGCGCGACATCAACTTTTTTGGTCGTAAAATATTATTCCTTGAAATTTGAACAAATTGTATTCGCGAGTAGATTTTCTATGTAATATGTAAACCAATTGCAATAGTAAAAAATATTTAATGATAAAAAATTGAACGCATTCGATGAACGATTTGTTAAACGAATTTGCGTGAAATGGATTTCAAATGGATTTGTAATGAATTTAAAATGAATTTAAAATGAATTTAAACGCGTGGTGGGTATCGATTCGCGTACGAATGTCACGGGATACTCGCGAAACAATTGTAGTAGGTCAAAATGAATCGTAGAATATGTAGTCTTCTTTATTTTTTTCTTTTCCCCTTGAAAGCAAGAAGATACAGGGGATAGACTTGAACAAATGTTTCGAGCGTTTTACCGTCGTGAGAACATTGCGACTGTCACTCGTGATATGTTGGAGCGAGCGCGCATGGAAATTGAATGTCGCATCGATGTTAACCGAGTCGACGAATGAGACACACGTCGGAATCCACTGAGAATGCTGTACATTGAGGTATTTCGATATTATAAAATTACTTACTCCTGGTGAGTGCGTTATTTCAAGCCACAAAATATTACGAAATTTTAATATCTTTTCGGAAAGAGCAAAAGCACGTACGAATATTATTTCTCTTAGATACTTTTCTGTCTACGATATTTTTCGTAGATATTTTTCTGTCAACAACTTATGGTTTCTTTTACATATAGAAATATTTTGAATTATTTGTTAAAAATTAGACAGACCGCAATCACGATTTAATCCATTTAAATGAAAAATGACAAAGCCGGTAAAATCGTTGGCTTTACTACTTAACTTTTCTCGTGTACACGCATTAACGGTGTGTCAATTGGGAAAAGATACTCTTGATCGCTGTGTGATCGTTTAATCACGGGTTTAATTTTAACGAATATATCGAAAAGTAGAGACAAACGGAAAAAGGAAGAGAAAGGATCTAAAAACTCATTTACTCGAAGCAAAGCTTATCCCGAAGGTTTAATTTACGGTTTCAATTATCAGCGACGGCGGCAGCCATCGAGAGTGTACCACCATATTCCTATTTGGGATTGAACCACGAAAAGGGAAAGTTCTCTCACGGTTGCCGAGGAAATCTACGCCCTTCTTTCGCCGCCACCTCTAAAATCAAATCACGGAGGGTTAGAGTATAACGAATCGAATGTGAGCCGATATCGATGACCTCTTCACTTTTTTTACTCTTTTTATCTTCTTTCTAATATTTTATTTTTCATCAAAATAATCTCTCTCTCTTTCTCTGTCTCTTTGCGAGATTTGTGCATTCGCGTGTGCACGCGTGTGCACGCGTGTGCGCGAAATAGCATAGTAGTAAATTTAAAATTGAAATGGCAAAGAAAGAAATCGCGTTTCATTGATATATCATTTGATTGAAATGTTTTCTCTTCTACAATTTTACCATATCACGAAGGAAAATAAAATATGTCAATGCTTTTGTTATCGTGATATTTTGCGAATACAAAAAACGTCACGAGAAAGAGAGAGAGAGAGAGAACTAAATCGTTAATTTTTTTTTTCCAATTTATTTTGGGGATTTAAAAACATTAATTAATAAAGCGAATATACAAGCACCAGCGTGTTATTTAACTAATCCATCGTTTGATGCATCTATTGATCGATCAATCGAAAGTACCAGTAAAACATCCCTTTTTATAGTGGCCGCAAAATTGAGAACCTGTTACGCTGATGTCGTATCAATTTAGTTAAATCGGTGACAGAAACGAAAAGAGGGGGTATAAAAAGATAAATTCATCTTGAAGATTACAATGAGATGCAAGTAATAAGAAGAAGAAATGTTATTTTAGTAGACGTAAGATGACGATATGTAAAATAAAAAATAATTTCAAGACTACGATATGAGATGTAAGAAATTTGAAAAGTTCATTTTAAAAATGGAAAAGATAGATGGTGAAACAAGAGAGAGAGATGGTATCTAGGGCAAGGAGGACATAGACCTTTACGGACGACCAATCGAGAAATTTGCATGAAAATTGAAAGGCAAATCGGTGCGTTCTGCATAAAATTGATGTATCGAGAATCATGGCCGTAGGTAGGTATTTTCATGTCGTGTTGGTCGCAGACTGTTTTCTGGAGTAGGAAACCGATAGTATAAATCACTCGACGACAATCTAATCTGTGTCCCTAATAAATTGAAGAAAGTGTAGCTTTTTTTTTCTTACTTTTCCTCAGTTATCCTGATCAGTTCTCCTAACAAATGATAAATAATACAGAATATGCATTTAGAGATGCATCAAAGATCGAGTTAAATAAAATTGAATAAAATAAAAGTCAAGCTATGGAATATTTTGATATAGATAAAACAAACGTATTGGTAGACACGACAAATATGTTCATAATTAGTTTAGCAAACTCAAATAAGTATAAGAAATTTAATTGTGGTAAAGGTTGTTCAAATATTATAGTTCTATTCGTTTAAAAAGAAATACCAAGATGGAAAGACGTAAAATGGAAAGAAAAATCGTTGCTTGGCTATTTTCCAAGTATTTGACACATTATTGAACGTGCCAAACATCTTTAACACGATCCCTTTCCCTTGAAGGAGAATAATCTTATAAAGGGAAGTTGAAAATTTGGTCCAAGTGTTGTCATCTGTGGAGTATCGTCTGAAACTCCAAGCTGAGAATGTTTCTAATGTTACAAAATAGATGGCGGTAGATACATCGTTTCACTACTTTCATTTCAAATAACTTACCCCCAATTCTTACCCCTAACGAGAGTTTAATGTATTTCATATCTACTGGTAATATTGCAAATGTTATATTTATCGATCAAGAAATAAATTCATTTAATTTTTTTTATAGTAATACATATAATAATATAAAATTAATTTATATCCTACAATAATAAAAAATAAATCTATCATTCTTATGAAGAGTAGAAAATTCCTATAAAAAAAAAAGTTTCGATTTTCAATAATTTGCTATAAACGATTTCTTGCATAGATAAAATACGCACATTGTTTAACATTGATATTCAATTCGATATTAGATTTCATACGTGTAATTGCAATATATTGTAATTTGTACATTTTTAGATATTGCTCTCAGGAAAATTTATTAGCTCAGTTACGTACCAAGCTCTGTCGAATTTGATGAACCTGCCATGAAGGCACGTAATATTAACGGGAAAAAAAAAGAAAAAAAAAAGGTAAAAAACAAAAAAAAAAGAACTGAAAGCATAGGTGGAGAACGACACGTCCTCGTGAATTCTCTCAGCTTTATCAATTCGACGTGATACTTTTTCAATTTCCACTCGAGTTTTGTACTCGACCGAAACTGTTTTGTCTCTCCTTTTTATTTTTTATTTTTTTTTTTGTTTTGTTTTATTTCTTTCTTCTTTTTTCCTTTTTTTCTTTTTTTTTTTTTTTGATCACGATCGAACGTATGACGTCGTCGACGATTTATTAACCGTTCTCAATGAATTTTCGAGTTCGCGTTTAAACAAATGAAAAAGTCGTAAATTTTCGTTTTAAGTTGTAATGCGCGCTAGTTGAATCCTTTGGAATGAACTGTAAACGTCGGATTAATTATCTTTATGACATTTCGAAGATATGTTTTACAATATTGATAAGAGTACCTATCATGTTTCGAAAATTTTAATTGCAAGCTTTCGTTTATTTTAGCCTTGTTAAAAGATATTATAAAACTTGAATCTCTCTCTCTCTTTCTGCGCGGAGAGAAGCATCATTATTACAGGATAAAGTTCAAAGAGATTGAAAAACAAACAAATGGAGTTAGTAGGTATTACTGTAAAATAAACAGGAGCATTGTTTTAAAGCAGAAATACACTCATACATAAAAAGTGAATATCAAAGTGTAATTCTTTTTCTCCGAATGATATTTGCCAAGGAAATGTTGTTGTGAATTTATATATAAAAATATTTAGCGAGTGATATCGATTAGATTTGTGGGCAAATATCGGTGGCCATTTTTCCGAGAGATCGTGACCCGACGCGGCGACGACGACGACGACGACGACGACGACGACGACGACGACGACGACGANGCGGCGACGACGACGACGACGACGACGACGACGACGACGACGACGACGACGACGACGACGAAGCGAAGGTTCGAACGAGCAAAGTGCGAAGTCGTGTCGTCCGCTTTTTACGAGCAACCCGTGCCGGGAAAATCGAGAACGTGGGTGCTGGTTGGTGGTGGTAGTAGTGGGGAACGTCAGCGATGCCGACAAAATGGCGAAGTGCAACGGTGCAACGCCATTTCACAGTCACCAA